GTCTTGTTATGGGGAGAAGCTGTCGTTGCTGCCACTCGGGACAGAAGCCTGGAGCCAGGGAACATCTGTGGACCGTGTCCTGATCCCTACACTGGGTTCCAGAGAGCTCTCTCCTGGGGATTAAGGATGCTCTAGTCCGTCTGGGGCCTGCAGGGTGGGGCACTGCTGGAACTCCATTTTCCTTTTAACTCTCATTTCAAAACAGGACGTCAATCCCAGCACACACACTGCTGCTGACATGGCGCTGGGTTTAGATGAATACACTTTCAATGGCGTGCCATGTCCGACTTCTGCCCACCCTGCCTGCCTTACAGTGCTCCTGCCTTGTTGCCCACCACTGACCAACCTGCAGCTTGCCAGGCCGAGACCCCTTTCACCAGAACGCCTGGCCTCCCACAGTGCCGGCTGGCTGGCTCCCTACAGCAGGCTGGCCTCTGCGGTATCTTTTTCTACTTTGAGTCACTGTGGGCTCAGGAAGCGCAAACCACTTTTGCTTTCAGACCAAGCCAAATACTCACAAGGTGTATCTGTTACAAAACGACCGACTTTGCTAGAACGCAAGGTCCTTGGAGGGGCATCCAGCAGAGAGCCTGCCCGGAGCAGACTCTCAAGTGCTTGTCAGGTTAATTCCCCAAACCAAACAGAATATGGAGATGAGTCCCAATATTTCCCCTCCATGAATCGAAGGAATTATTTACTGCAGCTTCAGGAGGTTCCCGTAAATGCTGAAAACAACCACCTAAATTCAAGGGACCATCGCAAACCACTGCTCCGCTAAGATAACGCTCTGTCAACAGATTCAACAGGTGACAGCCGCTGGGGAGGGGGCGAGCCTCTCACGAAGGCACCACGAAGACCATCCCCTTAACAGGAGCTCTGACCAAGGAACCTGGACAGAAGTTCAAATACTGGGCCCCTAAGAACTGAAGCCATTAAGTAATCCTTTGATTTTTTTTTTTTTACAAAAATATTAAGGGCAAATATTAAGAAAAATATTAAGGACAAAAATCACTATTTGTGAAAATCTCCTAGGACAGTAGTAAACCCAGATGATACACATACATAACGGAGACGCATGAGGCTCGATCTGTCGTGTCTGCAGCGGCTGTTTTGGGGAGTATGGTCTGAACTCCACATTCTGGTCCAAGTGAGCCGTGTGACAACAGCTTCTATGAAATGGAACACACTCCCACGATTATCGTTTATACACATGCATGACTTTTCTTTTTGTTTTTCTTTACATATATTATTGATTTCAGAGAGGAAGGGGGAGGACGGAAAAGAAACATCAATGAGAGAGAATCATTGACTGGCTGCCTCCTGCATGCCCCCTACTGGAGATCGAGCCCGCAACCCGGGCATGTGCCCTTGACCGGAATCGAACCCAGGACCCTTTGGTCCACAGGCCGACGCTCTATCCACTGAGCCAAACCAGCCAGGGCTTCTTTTTGTTTTTCTTAACAAGAGTTCATTTTTCAAAGTGGGCAAAGTTGGATGTGAAAACCTTAAGTTTTCAGTTTGCTTTTTTTTGGTTTGTTTACAGTCCATTTCTTGGGGCCAAGCGAATTTTTTTTAAAGTATTCAGAAACATACGCTACTGTAGCTGCGTGTTCAAACACCCACGTGGACATCGTCCTCTGGACTTACACATTCATGCCTACAAGCCTGCAGTGGGCGAACAGAGCGGGTGGCAGGCGCGGGTCATCACCCTTTCCCAGCACCTGCACGCGCACAGGGAGCCCTCCCCAGGGAGGGCCCGGAGGCTCGCTCACACGTGAATGGAGTGTCACCTCGCACGGCCCACACGGCACTTATATCTTCAGCGGCTCTTCACATCTATGGATTCCCAGTGCTCGTGCATGCAGTGAGGAAGCCGGCCGAGGCCGTCACATGTGTGAACACGCGCGTGGACACGTCCGCAGGGCTCCGCTGAGCCATTTCTGCACGCGCTCTTTTCACCTGAAATGACTAAGGGAGGGTAGTTTTCTAAAGGAAACTTGTTCTTCTAACCAAAGGGCGCACAGGTTTCAATAATGATTTACTGCCCACTCCAGTCCCGGCTGGAAAAATGGGCTCTGTTTACACTGAGAGATACCTGGGCTAGGATATCTGGGTCATGAGCCGTATCTGACCCTGATTTATAAACAACCTGGGGCACATGTTATGGCAACAGTGTCTCCTGCGGGGAGAGCGCCGGCCCCTCACTCTCACTGAGAGCCTGGGGAGCTCCCCGCCCCCCCCTCCCTGCTCAGCTGTGCGACCTGCCAGGTGAGGGGCATTCGGCCTGGAGCTCCTGAAAGAGCCCTTCTTTCAAGAATCACAACCTTCTTCTATATGTACACAGCTCTTTCTTGTTTTAAGTCTTTGTTTTAAAGGTTTTGAAGTTAACCTCACAAAAACTTTGTAAGAATGCAGTGAGATTCCTTACAGGTGAAGAGCAAATGCAGGGATCTTTACAAAGAGAATGGACTTGCTGGGGGCCTGCCTAGAGGTCAGTAAAGGGGCCAGGAAGAGAATGTGGACACCCCAGGCTCCAGCCTTACCTGGGATCGAACAGGACTCTCTCTGCAACACCTCTCATTGGCGGGGGATATGCTGAACCGACAGCCAAAGCAAAACTTATTTGGTTACCCCTCTACTCTGGCTTTCAAACTGCCTTCCACGTTTTCTCAGCACTTAAATGGCAGCGTTATTCCAGCCCCAGGATGCCAAAATAACCACGGAACAGTGCCCGAGGAGAAAAATGTGTCATGGTTTTCCGTCCCCTGTTCTTCTCCAGGGAAATACGCCGTCGTGAGGAGACACTGGCCATTGGGAGAAAAGCAGCCGGAGGAGAACAGGGAGCACCCCTGTCCCCGGGTGCGCCCTCTGTGTGACTCAGAACATGTGCAGTTCTGGAGGCTTCCTCTTCACGTAACCTATGGCATCCCTCACTATCGCGTCCAATAACCCTATCACATAACATCCGGATACCATGATGCGCCTAGTGACTGAAGAATTCATTCAGGCAGATCTTTATTCCAGTCCAGTTTTGTTTTCCACATAATTTCAGGGACCATTATAGACTCAGAAAGCAAACTGGGAATAATTCAGGAAATGGAAATAACGTGGACTGGATTCAAAAGGTACACAAAATTTTATTTTAAAGCAATAATTTACCACCAAAATCCGCATGTAACCTTTCCACCAAGTGACTTTCCACTGCACTGCCATTTCGAGTTAGCTCATATGACTAATAAGACCCAACTAGGCCACATCCTCCGGCCCACGTGGTAAAATTCAAACTCGTCTAAAAAAGCAACGGCTACCTACACGGCAGAGATGAAAAATCATTGAAGAAGTGAGGGCTTTCAGTGCATTACCTATAAGAACAGCTTAAATAAGTGAGGTTTCAAAGCAACTCAGGGTTTGTTTTTGTTGTTTGTTTGTTTTTGTTTTTATTCTATTTTAGGCCTTGGAATGTCCACAGAAAAAGGCAGAGGAGTAAGGGACAGAGGGACCCAGCTTTCCCATCATGAGCTTGGGTCTCCAAAAAGGGGAAGCCCATAAGTTGTGGGCCGATGGTGGTTTCCATGAAGGGCATGCCGAGCACTTGGAACCTGAAACGAGGCCGCGTCGGCGTATTAGCTGGAACCCTAGGGCATGAGATTTTGGTGACTTCCTGGGCACAGCCAGAATTAACTCCAAGTATTTCTAGAACGACCAGAGGCGATAGGGCAACGAGTCAGCAAACAGTGTTCCTTTGGTCACAGACAGAGGAAGTGGGGTAATTTCGGGTCCCATTATATAAACATTCATGCATACAGAATATGCTGCCCATAACACTACCTGGATGTTTAGACGAAGGCATTAAAAAAAGAAAGAAGAAAAAGAAAGGAGCCCTTTCCTGTGCTCGCTAGCGAGAGGATGCACTTCGGAGGTATGTGTGCCCTGCTTCAAAGCAACAGCACTGTTCGCCGTTATCAAGGCAGCATTTAAAAATAACCGGCCCGGGTACAAAAGAACTTCAGAGGAAACAGGAGCGAAGCTATCCGTCTCCCTTCGGGTCTGGCCCTGAACGCACCAGACGCTAGCTGCATTGCTCCACGACATTGTTATCCTTATCAAACAATGCAAACAATTTTAATGAGCTTATCTGCTGGAACATATTGCCAGAGATGCTCATGTCAGAACGATGCCAACCGCCCAGGCCGACTCATTCATCAAAGGGCTCCCGATGCAATGACCAAGATCAGCCCCATCCTCAAATCAGACCTCAGCACAACACCGGGAACTACCTTCCCACTGACCATCCGACCGTCCTCGCTATAAAAGGGTGGGCTCCCCGACCCCGGCGGAGGCCGCCAACTCCCGAGAAAATGCACCCCGGCGCCCAGGTCCCTGGCAGCCCAGTCTCTTTCTAATAAACCTTGGGTTCTAGGAAGACAATTTTGGTGAATGCCTGACACCGTGACCTCTGCTGTCAATCCCTGCGCCAATCAGCGAGCAGAATTCTTACAAAGCTCCATCAATCTGGCGGCTTCACCCCACAGGCTGCAGCTCCATCGAGAGGATTCCATCTTTCCTGCACGCGCACCGCACCGCGGCGAGGCGAGGCGAGGCGAGCGCGAGCGTCCTCCTCGCCACCCTCCCGTCCCCGCCTGTAGGCACAGCCCACCTAATGGCTCCTCTAGAAGCTAAAAGGGAAGGAGGAGAGGAAGTGCTGCAGCCCGTCTCCCTGCGGAGAGGGGGGCAACCTGCTTGCATCGGGTCTACGTGGAAGGAAGGCGCTGGGGGGAGACCCCTCGCAGGCGGCAAACCTATTCACAAAATGCATTCCAGCTGCGCCCGGGAAGCCTCCATGCATCCCCCACATGACACATGGACACGGGCAGCGAGGATCGCAGCCCTTTGCACCCGCAGCGCAGCCCGCAGCCGCCGGCCGGGTCCGCTCCATTACATAACGGGCGGCTTCCGCGCCCAGGTCCCCGCCGCGCCCACACCGCCGGGCCGGACCGTACCTGTAGGAGCGCTCCCCGCGCACCGTGTGCTTCCGGAAAGGAATGATGGTCCCGTTATCCTGGATGATGTCGTTGTTGTTCTCGCCATTGGGGGACAGGGTCTGGGTCGGACCAGGCATTGGCGCGGCCCCGAGGAGGGATCAAACCGCTGGGGCTGCTGGTGAGGAGGTGGCCGCTCTTCCCGCTCCCGCGCCCTCCGCAGACCTCGCCGCCGCCCGCCTGCTCCCTCGCAGCTCCCTGCTCGCCGCTCTGGCTCCCGCCCCGCCCCGCCCTCCCGCGCCCCGCCCTCCCGGTGCTGACGTCAGAGCGCCGGCAGCAGCAGCGGGTCACGTGGGCCGGCCCGTCACCATAGCAACCCGCTAACTCATCACCTCGCCCGCACTCGCGCTGGGCCGCGGGGCGACCACACCGGCAGCTCCGGGCGGGCGGGCACCGGGCGGGCCTACATCTGGCGCGTAAACATCTGGCGCGTAAACCCCGGGCCGCCGCCGGCCCCCCTCGCCGACGCGCCGGGTCTCAAACCCGGCTCTTCCTCTAACCATTTCCTTTCCGACCCGCGCTCCCACCGCAGCTGTGTACACAAAAGAGCGGTTCAGGAGGAGGAGGGGGCCCTTTAACTCCTTCCACACCAGGCGCTTATGCCATTAAAGCTAAACTCGGCCTGGTTTCAGGGAAACAAGACCCCTGGCGGCCTGCTTCTGGGAAAGGTATCGGACTAAGGGTTTAGGTCCAGCTTTCTCCGCCCGCCCCTCCCCCCCTTCTCCAAACAGAAGCAACCTCCTCCCCCATTAGCCCCCAACCTGAACACCAAAGGGGAAGCTGCATTGCCTTCTAATCAATGTAATCTTTACGTTAATGTGAAGCGTAAAGACTGCAAATTAAGAGACTTTCTGCACAAAAGAATCCCCAAAGAGGGCTTGTGAAAAAGATATCCACCATTTTAGAAGATCATAGTTACCCAAGACCCCCTCATTCAAATTCTTATACTGCCTTATGCTGCAGAAAACGAACTCCTTGCCATTTATTTCACTTCCATTGGAATTCAGCGAACACCCAATTTAGTATCTGGGAGCTCTCAGCATCCATATCATTGTCATGTAGTTTTCAAATACACGGGCTATGAGACGGGTACTATTATCATTAAAGATGAGTAAACGAGTGAGAATAAGTAACCTGCTCAAGGTCAGGCAGCCAGAAAGCAATGAACTGGAACTTCAAAATGACATGCTTTTTGTCAGTGTGATTGGACAGTAGTGATCTATATTTAATGTGAGCTCATAAATATCATAGATCAAGGAAAGAATCAAGTCCTTATGTACACTCTCAACATGACCACTGTGAGATTTGCTATTACTGTGCGAAGTCTATGGATTCGGTTATAAACTCTGGCCAGGCCCCAGGTGTGTCCAGTGCTCTCCTCCAGGGAGGAGAAGAGAGTTTGAAGGATTCTCTGTTTATCTAAAGTGGTCTCTGACCTTGAGTGGGGTGGAAAAGGGGGAAGAATTGGTGTGTAAAAGGCAGCATAAATATATGTAGCAGAAAGTACTAGCGTACTAGGCGATATGGTCACAGCACTGCATGGATCAGCAGCTTTATCATTTTGTGATACAGATGTTAAAAACAAGTAAAAACTTTGTCATTCCTGATGATTCTCCAGCATATCTCCCTGGTAATAAGTTGTTTCTGGCATCAAGCAACTAGAATTAGAATCAAATGGCTTACAACCCAGATGGCAATGATATTCTCAAACAAAAGGGCACCCCCCCCCCCCATTGTATATTCTCCTTTCAGGCTACATTTTAATAATTATATTTTATGCTTCTCCAGTGAATCCACAGTATACAAGTTGATGTCTTCATATCTTAGCTTACATGAGATTTTTTTTTTTTCATATAAAGATCCAATTCTCACCTAAGACTTACAAGGCACAGAGACATATCTAAGTCAAAGAGGTACACACCAGGCCTCACATTGCACAAGGAGCTATAAGGGGCTTGAGAGTGCAGTCATCGCTACAGAGATCCGTTTCCTCTTACTATTTTTGTTATTAGACCCACAGTTGTCAATTTCCCTCCTAAATTGGTTCTTTTTCACAAAAGCTTCCCTTTTCTTTGGGGACAGTGTGAAGCTGAAAGACACAGTGTACAAATGAAGCATTTAATGTCTTCGGAGCACACCCTCTCATTTTGTGTCTTTATCACAGCGTATGTTTCCATGACCCCATATTTAAGTGATAGGTTAGGCGTCACTGATGGTATCGTAGGGACTAAATGTGTCGGAATGTGGACGCATGGCTCCTTGATTATACCGAGTAATTCTGTGGAGCGAGCACCCCACTGCTTCCAGGCTGCCTGTGAAGGAGAAGGCCATGGCCCAGAATCCGAGTTGATGGACTAGGAGGGGAAGGGTAGTGAGTCGGGTGAGGGAGGTGTCCCAGGCCCCTTGCACATCTTCCGCTGGAACTGCTCTGAGCCACATCGCTCTAGGTCAGTGGTCAGCAAACTCATTAGTCAACAGAGCCAAATATCAACGGTACAACGATTGAAATTTCTTTTGAGAGCCAAATTTTTTAAACTTAAACTATATAGGTAGGTACATTGCTATTAACCTACCTGTATAGTTTAAGTACTGTTGATATTTGGCGCCTCCCCTGTGCTGCGTATCCCACAGCCCGCCTGCACCGCGTCTCCCATCGCCGGACCAACCGACGGACACCCCCCACTTCTTCAAAATAGACTAGCCCAGGCCAAAACCTGACTTCTGCGCAAGGGCCACGAAGTTTCAATCGCACTGTACGTGTGCACCCGCACGTGGTATTTTGTGGAAGAGCCACACTCAAGGGGCCAAAGAGCCGCATGTGGCTCGCGTGCTGCGTTTTGCCAACCACTGCTCTAAGGGACCCAGAGGACTCCAGAGTTCTGTGACTACCCTCCAAGATGCAGGGGTAACAAGAGTAATCATCTGAAAATACTAGACAGATGTGTTTTCCTTTCTCATCTCAAAAATCAGGCGATCTGGCAGCCATTCCCCAGGTCAGCCCTAGGGAGAAGGGGAGGGCAAATTCCACGTTGGGAGGGCGGATGCTGGGATACAGGGAGAGTGCAGGAGAGGCAGGGGCAGGAAGGGAAGCGTCTCCCCTTTCCAATCCCAACTGAGCGCAGGAAGAAGGGGATGAAAATAGGAGAAAGCGGGATCTCCCACCGTCAAGTCCCTGAAGGGAGACTTAGCAGAGAGGTGGCGGTTTTGTTCTCGGCCCAAGAGACTTTCTTTTGTCTCATTTCCCATCTGAGACTCCAGGAAAAGACCCCCTTAAAGTGCATCTCCCTAGCACCTCCTCCCCACACAGGGGCAGCCCCAGGACAGTAGACGCTGAAACCAGCAGCTTGGTAGGTGGGGCAGAGGAGCTAGGGAGAGGCAAGGGGGGTCTCTAAGATGAAATATTCACCCAAGAGATGGAGCTGGCTACCCAAAGATAGTGTCAACTGGCAGAGGTGCCAAAACCGTGACCTGGTGAGCTTGAAACCTCCGCACCCTCAGCGGGTGAGCAGAGTCGCACAGGTTAGCGTAGAAGAAAAGAACGAACCTAAAATGCCCGTGTCCCTGACTGCGGGTTCAGGCTGAGCCCTGTGTGCGCAGGTGCAGCCATAATAAGGTGCATGCAGACCGCATGCGGCACCTCCCACTGCCCGTGGAGAAATGAGCAAAGTGGGGGCTCTGGAGGCAGGCGGCCCTGGGTCCCCAACTTGACTTCAGCAAGTTAGTTTGCATCTAAGATGTAGATTCCTCATCTATAAAGTCTGTGTAAGAATGCTGGTTGCCTAGGGTTGCTGTGAAGATGAAATTCCGTAATATATCTCACCAGCTAACGCAGTGCCTGGCATACGGCCAATGCTCTTCAGCGCGATGTGCTATTTTTCAGCAGGATGCTGGGTGTATCCTAAAACGTCCCTTCTTGCACTTGACACCTGTAACTGGATTTCGTGTGTACCAGAAGCTGGCAAACAAGGAGTCCAGTCCCCAGCTCCGTCCTTGAGGAACTCATTGTTTGTTAAGATGAAATACTGGCAATCATGATACAATATAATGCTGTCATATTGGGGCCCCAGAGGGTGATATGGGACCATGGAAGGTGAGCACCTAATTCAGAATGGAAATTGGCAAGTAGGTCTGGCAAAGTTACCCCACAGAGCTATCGCCTAAGCCAGCGGTTCTCAACCTATGGGTCTCGACCCCTTTGGCGGTCAAACGACCCTTCCACAGGGGTCGCCTAAGACCATCCTGCATACCAGATATTTACATTACGATTCATAACAGTAGCAGCATTATAGTTATGAAGTAGCCACGAAAATATTTTTATGGTTGGGTCACAACATGAGGAACTGTATTTAAAGGGCCAGAAGGTTGAGAACCACTGACCTAAGCCTCAGATGAATAATAATGATGACATTTTTTGTTCGCTTCCTCTGTACTAGACAGAATGTGAGATTCCTTAAGGCAGGGACTTCAATGGTTCTGTTTGCTGCTCTATCTGCAGTTCCTAGTAGGCCACGAGTGAATATGTAATTCATTCATTTATTCAACAAATTCCTGATTTGATTCTCAAAACAACCCCCACAATAAAATTGAGGCTCTAAAAGGAGAAGCAACTTGTTCAGGTTGGATGGTTTTCTCAGACCCAAAGCTCACACGCCTACCCATTAAGCAGCATGGTCACCTAAAGGCGGCCAGTAGTGGGGAGGGAAGACAAAGGACCCCTCAGGCAGATGCGCTTGGGCACAGAGGTAGGACGGTGTGATGTCTCTGAGACACAATAAGTTGTTTCGTATGGACTCAGACTAGAGGACACAGTGGCAGGAGATAGGACAAGGACCAGGCTCAGAAAGGTGCTATGGCCACGCTAAGGAGTTGAGCTTAATTCTGAAGGTACTTTGGAACCATGAAGTGCGTTAGGGAGGGAAATTGATAGTGAAATTCGCATCAAGAAGGTCTGATGCTGGCAAGGAAGATTAAAATGGGACAGGTGATGGAGGCCTAAACTAAGACAGAGGCCACGAGGTTAAAAAAGAAAGCACAGTCTGGCTGGTGTTGCTCAGTGGTTGAGCATCAACCCATGAACTAGGAGATCCCAGGTTCGATTCCCGGCCAGGGCACACGCCCAGGGTTTGGGGCTTGATCTCCAGGAGGGGGCGTGCAAGAGGCAGCTCATCTCAATGTTTCTTTCTATCCCTCTACCTCTCTCTCTAAAATCAATTAAAAAAAAA